AATCTATCAGGAAGCCCTTACGTGCTATTGATTGAGTCTCTCCCATAGTCGGGGCATTGCAACTGACAAAGTAGGAACTACAGACACAGTACAGGGTTTCTGGCCAAGGAAGCAAGAATCTCTGGGGAAGATGATTCCAGCAGCTGTGAGCAGGACGTCCTGGCAACCAGTTAAGCCTGCCACGAGCCTACTCTTTGGTGGTCACTTTGCAGGCCACCTCATTCACCTTTATAGCCTGTGGTAAATATAATCATCTTTGTTTTATAAATGAATTGATGTTTACAGACATTAGGCAATTGCTGATGGTCATAAAACTAGTGATGAAGCTGGGGTCTGAAACCAGGTCTAAGTTCAAAGCCTGTGCTTTTCCCATTTATAACACCCCCCTTCCCCCCCCACCACAACAAAGGAAAATTAAGTTAAAATAAGCCTGAGATTGTGAGCCTGGAGAACCTCACGACTGTGAGCAGCGGTCAGGAACTGGGAAAGGGGACCCCTCCATAGAGGAAGACTCCTGGTTGTTTGTTTATGAATTCTCCAAATGTTAAACATGTCAAATCAGGTGGGCAGGTATCCAAGTGGGAATATCCTGTCTCTGGCTGGCAGCCTCTGGGGAGCGAGGATGAGGGCAGGGATGGATGCATAAAAGTCATCTGTGGACAGTTGGTAGATTTTTGAAACGTAAGAACAGGCAAGCTCCTCTGGGGGCTCAGTGTTAGAATAAAACACAAGGGAGTCAGGGGGAAAGGTCTTCTGGGTGTCCCAGAGCTCATGGCAGTGGGGCAGGGAAAGGGGAGGAGGAGCAGGTCTCACCTACATGAACAGATGGTCAGAGGCACACATGGCCTCTCGGGTGTAGGTACTGCCCAGTGCCAACGGAGATAATCCTCCTTCTGTTCAGTTCTTGAAACTTACTCATTTGTCAAGGTGCAGCTCAAATTTCCACAACCCGTATTGGAATTCAAACTTGCTCCTCTCTGTGACTCCCACATGGTTAGCATTACGTTTGGCACATAATAGATGCTAAATGAAAATTTGCTGAGCTGAACTGAACAATTAAAGAGAAAAAAACTATTTGGGGATGACAGTTATTCTTTCTAAGCCATATCTTCTTAATTTGTGAGATGAAATAATCATTACTAGGATTAAATGAGATATATAGGTAAGGCATTTACTACAGTGCCTGGAATTGAATTGTTCATGAACTGTAATTACTATTCTTAGCTGGCAGCATCCATGGAAGTAATATACATAATAGGAGCCTGGGGTGAGGAATCCCAGGAAAGGAGGAGTGCTCAACAGTTCCAACGTCCTCTGTGTAACACAGCGCTCTCTCTCTCTCTCTCTCTCTCTCTCTCTCTCTCTCTCTCTCTCTCTCTCTCTCTCTCTCGCATTCTCATCCATGCTGAGGGATGTTATTGAACAAAGTATAAAATTCCACTGATATCCTGTGTATTCCCCCCAATATAAGGAGATTCTTAGTAATCTAAACTTGGTCCTACAGTGGATAGTTGAAATGATCTTCATGGCTACTTGCATGATTCTAATATCAAAATGGTTAGGAATTTTGATTCTAGCCAGATAACAGGCCCACCTGCATGCTTTGTTTTTTATTAGAGTCTCTAAGTAAAGGTGTGTCTACCCCCAGTTTGGCAGCTGCTTGGGAGGGAGATATGGCGCCAGATTCCTGGAATCAGCAAGCATCCCACTGTCCAGCCTATCACAGACAGAAATCACTGCTCCCCGACACAAAACCTTCTCTGTGGTAAACAAAGCCGCTATGTGCAGTCCTTTCCAACAGGGCATTCTCTCTCTTCCCTGAGACCTGAGGAGGGACGAGGAGGCAGAACAAAAACGGGCATCTGCGGCACGACTGTGTGAAAGATTGTGTGAAAAGGGCGCAGGGTTTTCAATGAACAGACAGTCCCCTTTTGTCACAGCATCTCCCTCCCGGTCAGCAACTTGCTCCTCACCTTTGGGCCAGACGGCACCCAAGGCCTCTGTTTATCCACTAGAATGAGGACTCCAAGAACCCAGCTCCCTTAGGACTGGGCTTCCCTGGAGACCGGCCCTGGGACCCTGCCGCCTGCCCCTCTCTGTCCTCCGTGGTTCAGTCCTGGTCACTGAGAAGCCCAACCTCTTAGGCTCTGCTCTCCGCCCCTTACTCCCCTCCCCCACTCCTTTTCAGGGCTTAAGGGACCTTTTCTATTTGCAGAGCCTAAAGAAGCCGGTTGCCAAGGTGACAGGAGCAGGAACAGCGGGGAGCTTGCCATGGGGGAGGGGCTTTGCCCCCAAACAGCTGTCAGTGGGAGCAGTCCCAGCTGGGACTAGAGCCTTTGCCTGCTCTGGGAGAACACATTCCCCTCTGCTCTACTCCCTCCACTGCCCCTCCACCGCAAGTCTCCACTGGTTACTTTCCCTGGGGGCAGCCAGCCAGCCGGCTCAAAAAATGCTCCAATAACAAACAAAAAAAAACCCGCTCTGTGCTCCCCCTCTCCTCCCCCACCCTCAATTGGCATGCACGCATGCTCTGATCATTCCACTTGCAGGGGGTTGACTGGGCAGGAGGCCAGGAGTTACCTCCGCCTGGGGAGCTGCGGGGCCCAGGGCAGGTGCCACTCCAGGCAGCCCTTCCACCCCACCCCCGCCCTTGCATCAGGTCATAGGGTTAGTTCAGTCTTTTTGTTTGTTTGTTTGTTCCAGAGGCCCTGAGGGGATCTGCAGCATCCTGAACCACCGCTGTCATCCATCTGGGAGGTGGGGGTGGGGGAGTGGAACCCTAGGGTTTACAGAGAGGAAGGGGTGGGAGAAGAAAGGAAGAATAGGAGGGGACGGTGGGAGGCAGAAACAATGCAAAGCCTACTGATTTGTGTCTCTGGGGGAGAGGTCTTTGTGGTCCGCAGCTCACAGCTGCTCCATAGAAAGTTCTGTGGAACCACTGGTCCCTGTACTGCAGAGCCACATACTGTCAGTCCCAGCCACACCTGGGCTCTGGACCTCAGCCTGTGGCTCACCTGCATCACCCTGACCAGGCTTCAGAGAAGAGAGCCCTCCATTAGACTCTGTAAACCCCAGGACAGTCTCAGAACCGCTGGCTCTTTGAGCTTCAGGTCAGAAATAAGAAAGGCCTAGAAAGCCCCAAATTACTGTCAGAACTGAGAGAGGCAAACACGGCTAGATGCCTGAGATCCAGGATCTGACGCAGCCAGACTTGGTTCCCAGTTCTGCTCTAGGGTTTGTGCACTGAACGAGTAGGTAGAAGACATGCTAACTTGGGGTCCTTGCTCTAGTCCAGTGATGGCGAACCTTTTGAGCTCGGCGTGTCAGCATTTTGAAAAACCCTAACTTAACTCTGGTGCCGTGTCACATATAGAAATTTTTTGATATTTGCAACCATAGTAAAACAAAGACTTATATTTTTGATATTTATTTTATATATTTAAATGCCGTTCAACAAAGAAAAATCAACCAAAAAAATGAGTTCGCGTGTCATAGGTTCGCCATCACTGCTCTAGTCCAAGCTGCTATCAAGTCACTCTAAGAACCTGTCTTTACCTCTGAGCCTCAGTTCCTTTCCCCCTAAAGGAAGAGACTGGACCAGTCTCTGGAGAAAGCAATGCCAGACAGAGAGAGACACCTGGAGCCACAGGGCAGTGAGGCCTCCAAAGGTTCTGTAGTGACCACAGGAGGTAGAGACCAACCCTTGGTCCTTGAAACCTCAAAAAGGCAAATAGAGGACTTTAAGTCAGATTCTTCCCAGCTCACTGTCATAATGTTTTCCTGACTCGAATACCTTCGTCCACGTTGCCTGCTGGGTCAACTGCTCATACTTCAAGACTCACGCACCATTTCACCCGGCCATCCTGCCTGGTGCTGAGATGACCACCTGTGCTCTGTGCCCACTTACCCTGTACTTATTCCTTTAATGGAATTTATGACTGAATGGATTTCCTTATATATCTGGCTCTATCCTTTTGACTATACATTTCTTTAGGTAAGGAATCATATTTTGACCATCTTGGTTCATTAGTAACAAGCAGAGTAGGTTCTCAAGAAAAAAATAGATTGGATGAGGTCCGAGGGCAAGGGATGGTCTCAGGGATGTGACCAGGCTGAGTCTCTCTTTAATGCAAAACCACGCGGCCCACCACCGTGTTTATTTCTGTGTTAGAACAGCCTGGTCTTGCTCTCTGGAAGGGAAAGCCAGGCTTCTAGGGCTCTTGGCAGGTTCTTCCCATCAGAGATGGCCGACAAGAGGTGGCGCTGGGAGAATTTTAGCAGGCAGGGAAAGGAGCCTGGCTCCGGGGAAGACAGATTCACCTCCTTCAGAGAACTCGCCTCACAAGTGACTTGCGGGATTATTTTAAAAAAATCTGCTACATTTATTCTCGAGTGACCTCTTTGGGACCTTTCTTGCTTCTCCTCCCCAAGGACAGTGCACTGGGTTCCGACAGTGCTGGGCTCACACGTTACAGCACTCATCACACTGTACCTGCCTGTCCTTCCAGTCTGTGCTCTCCTCCAGGGCAGGCCCCTGTCCTATTGATCCCCACATATCCAGAACTGGCAATACAACTGGCAAATACTGGTCAACAAATGTCTGTGGAATGATGAGAAAACGAACTTCCCACTTCCTCGTCTCCCCGTGTGTTCTTACATGCCTCTGGCTGGCCCCATCCTTTTTGCTGACTCTTAGAGAATTTCAAAATAGTCTTGTTGCCAACCTCCACCCACACAGGGTCAACAGCTATAATTGCACACTCTGAACTTCACTGCTGTGCCCCTTGTGAAGGACTCATTTAGTTCAACGGATGTGGCTTCCTTTTAAAGCTGGATGAGAAGCATGAAACGGATTGAGGAGTTAATGAGCATTTCAAGATTGGAGGAGGGGAGAGACACATGGCTGGGATCTTAGCACGTCCCTGGAGAAAAGGAAAGTCTGAAAGTTTTCCCTGGCCCCCAGTTTTCTGGGATAGGATCCTTCTTCCTGGAGCCCTTACCTGGTGCAATGAGGGGATGGGCAGCCACAGCGGGCACCATCCGGCTGAGCCCAGCCCGGCCCTCCAAGCTCCCTGGCACACTGCTGTTGCCATCTCCTTTCTTGAGTGGCTCCATCACACTGTCAGTTAGGCCAGACTTGGCACCTGCAGGGGAACCCTGAGCAGTGTTTCTGCCCTGTGACGGGGTAGGCAGGGGCTGGCTACCACCTGGCGTGGGTTTCAGGGCCAAGCTGGGCAGGACAGGCTGAGTGGGGGAAGGGCCCGAAGCTGCTGCAGCTGGTGTCTGCTGTGTTCGGAGGGTCAAGTTCTGTACCTGGAAAAGAGGGGTCTACAGGAGTCCAGAGAATGTGGGTAGGAGCAATGCCAACACACAGCTAAGACAGGGAAGGAGTTAGGGATGGATTCAGGAATAGCTGAATAGGATCGTGTATGAAATCAGAGACAGAGAGAATGAGTTAGGGCTGAAAGAGAAACCAGGAGCAGGTAGGGGCTCTAAAGGGGACAAGAGAGAGTGCTATTAATTGGATCCACCAGCAGAAGAATGGAGTTCTGAGAAGGGAGGATGGCCCAGGCTGGGGCAGGCCCGGGCAGGCAGGCCAGGCGCTCTCCCTTCTGTTCATTCCCGCCTCCTCCAAACTAGCAGGATGGGATGCAGACCACTTAGAAAGAATTCCCAGGTACCGCAGGGCGTGGGCTCGCCACACTGGAAAAGGCCAGGGCAAATGGAAAGTTGATTAACCAGCAAGGCCACCAGGCAGAGGACTACCTGGTCCCAGAATAAGCTGTGCACGGGTTGGGCCTGCTATTCAACCTGGTCCCTGGTGCCCTCTGCTGGACATACAGAGGCTGTGCCAGACCCTTATCTGACCAATCCGATGATCTTGCTACCAAGTGTCCTCCACGTGGTCCCCATTCTGTAGCTGGGGATGGGGTGATGGGAGTGGGAGGTGTTCCTCCTCCGGGCTGCCCATAGGATCTTTACAGCCACAGCAGTACCTGTCGGCTCTCAGCAGAGGGTAGGGACCCAGGACTCATCTCCCCTTCCCCCCTTCCAGGCCATTTCCTGATTCCTAGAGGTGCTAGTCTATGTAACCCGAGTGGGATTTTCCACTTGAAAGCAACCAAAGCAGCAGAAATTACATTGGGGAGGGCGAGTGTAAGGTACAAAGGTAGCAAAGACCACCGGGCCATTACTGGCAACCACGCTGGCCTCAGCGTGCTGCTCTGACGCCTGACCATTGTTACAGGAACAGGGGCAGGAGTGGCTGAGGCCTTCTCAGTGGGGAACGAAGGAGCAGGGCTGGGTGCATTGGGCCGTCCAGTCTCCCACCGGCTTTCCTAGGAGATTCCAGCCTTTCCAAAGATTCAAAGCTCCACCACGGCTTGGGCCCATACCCAGTATCAGTCAAGGGGTACCCACCCCCCTGCCCTCCCACAAGCATGGAATCCTCACCTGGGCGGGGGTGGGGGGCCGGGCGGGGGAGCCAGTGCCGAGCTCAGGTTGCACAGTAGCGACGGTGGCCGTGGGCGTGAAGATGAGCTGAGGGGACAAAGGAACAGTGCCGCCTAGGCTCCTAGCTACCTGCACCAGGTTACCTGGCTGGGCCTGGAATCATAGGAAACGAGGCGCCTTTTACCTGCCCAATGTGGGCTCAGCCACAGGACAGACAGTGTAGCCAGCGAGCAGATATGGGGAACTAGGGAGGCAAGAAAGGGAAGGAGTCCAAAGGGATCCTCTGAAAATCCTGATCTAGGCTGGGCAGTGAGGGGTGGGGGAGAGCCACCCTGGGGCTGTACTCAAGTCAGGTTTACTGCAGCAGCCTCTGTGAGGAGCTCATCCCAGAAGGGACCTACATTTGCAGGACATCCTAGCCACTCTCTCCTCAGCCTCCCGGGGGCAGGGACCCCGGGCTGAAATAGATGCCCTAGGATCACTGGCTAGGTCTCACCCACTCCTGACTCTAGGTTGGGTCAGAACAGGACTCGGCTCCAGAAGGGATGATTTGCTCAATTTTTAGTCCAAGTTAGGTGTGTGTGTGTGTGTGTGTGTGTGTGTGTGCGCGCGCGCGCGCGCGCGCACTCGTGTAGACAACAGTGGTAGAGGAAGCCGAGCGTCTAGAGCTATACTTGTGTCTGCATCTCCTTCCACGGGGCGCAATGCAGGCTATGTGATGGTCTCTGCATGACACTTTCACCTCTGTGAGTCTAGCTTGGGGTCAATGTGGACATGCTGGTGTCTTGAGAACTCTGTGAGGCACCCTCCGTGCATGTATGCTCTGCTCTGGGGAGGGAGGCAGACAAGCTTCGGGACTCAGTTGTGTCAGTTGAGTTAGGCAAGGGAATGAGTAACTGAAGATAAAGGCCCGCGTGGGCAGTGCCACAGTGTGGCTGTTTCCCTAGAGAAGTGGAAGTCTAGTCTATGCTGTGTGTCTAAGGGGCTAGTCCCTGGGAATGGAGCTGCACCCCAAGCAATGAACTCAGAGTCAGGAACGGAAGTGCAGGAGCAAGACCAGAAAGGCTCCGTCCGAGTGTCAAATTCTGGCCGCAGGAGTGAGGGAGGTAGGACTGTGTGTCAAGGAGCTGAGGGAGGCATCTTCAGGATGGGAGATATGAGGCTGGACAGAGCTGAGCACAGAACCATTAGATGCTACTGCCTCCTAGGGGGCATGCTGCTATTTTCCCAGGAAATCCTTCCAAATCTTAGGAACCTCTTAAGTTCCTAAGGGCCTCTGCAGCCCTCAGGGCCAGGTGTAGAGGAGAGATCTTAGGTATGCATGTCCAGGGCCGATGCCATCCTGAGTACATTTGAACCAAACATGCCCACCTGATTAAAATTGCTAGGGTGACCCTGATTAGCATGGGGCCCAGCTGGGAGGGCAGTGGAGGCACCAGCATGTCCTGATGCTGGCTGCCACCTTCACTATCTGAGCCGAAATGCACCTTTGGCCCTTGACCACTAGCAAGGACTGTCACAGTGAGCTAAGACCAATGTTCCCATGTCTGTGCAGTATATGGATGTTTCTGTGCTTGCTTATCTGATGTGCCTGAGTGTACAGAGCGTTGAGGCAAGGACTCCCACATTGTCTACCCTAATTAGTGTTAGAAAATGGTTTCTGAAAAGAGGAGCACAGTTCTGTTTCACTCTCGGAGGGGAAGGAAAGGAGGCATCATGGGTAACTGTTTCAGCCTGGAACCGCCCCCCCATCCTTGTCAGTGAGCCCATACCAAAGCTCCTGCTTAGCTTTCCAGCTCCCCTCCCTTCTTTATTCCACCCTTATCTCTGCCGACTGTCTCCTAGGCTTCTTCCCGACCTGGACTAATCCCTACCCTTCTCCATCTCTCATCGCTCAGACTCTCTGCCTGTTCCCCTGGCCCACCTGAGCCGTGGCCCAGACTGTACTCACCATCTGTGCCCTCAGATACATCTGTGCTTGGCTTGCAGTCAGGGCGGGAGAAGATGTGTTGCCCAAGAGCACAGCCTGCTGGGCGATGCCCGAGGCGGTTGCTGAGTTCACACTCTGAGCCCGGTTGATGAGCTGGGCTGCTGCTGGGGAGGCTGCCAGATTGATCTGATGGGAGAGACACACAGTAGGAAACAGGAGGTCCTGTTGGTTACCTCCGCGCCCCATCTCTTTCTCCCCTCTCTCTGTCCCTGGGTGGATTCGGCTTTCTTTAGAACAGTGGTTCTCAACCTTCCTAATGCCTCGACCCTTTAATATAGTTCCTCATGTTGTGGTGACCCCCAACCATAAAATTATTATTATTATT